AAAATGTGATATCTCCAGTTTCTCGTCGTCGTCGTCGTCGTCGTCGTCTTTGGTACTTTTGCCGAGTGTATCCGAGCCTATATCCTTGCCGATCCCCGTCTGCGATACACACACTCGAGGCGTCGTCGTCGTCGGCTCTAGCAGCCCTCGAAGGATAGAGAATATAACATTACGGCTGGCGTTGGTGTGCTCTCTGCGGTGCTCCGCTGCCGAGTATATATGTAGTACGGAGGGAAAAGGCGCGTAGTCAGCGGTAATTCGCGCGCGCGTGTCGCGAGAGAGAGAGAGAGAGAGAGAGCGACAAGAAATGAATAAAAGGAAAGTGCGAGGCTGTGCAAGAAATGAAAGACTCGCCAGATAACGTCTTGTCGGAAATTTGAATTTTTGAATATGCGCTTTAAAACGAGAGATGCGAGATGAGTTTGATCTACTTATCTGTTGAGCTCGAAAACTCCAAGTTTCTCGACTTGTCGCTCGGGCGGTGTAGTGTCGCGCACAATCGAGGATTCGCAATAGAGAGGCACGGAGCATCGATATGCCGCCGCCTCGATCCTCGACCTGCAGTGTGTGTACGGCCTTACTACACAAACTCGACTACACACACACACACACACTGTAATATATTATAATAGCGACGGTGTACAACCGCACGAAGAAATAGAAGTTGATCACGAGTATAGAATGGCTCGTGCACATGTAGGGTTCTCTTTCTCTCTCTCTCTCTCTCTCTCTCTCTCTTTCGACGTTTTGCGAATTCCGAAGCTGCTGCTCCCCGAGTAGTATTTCCATAAGTCGCCGCGCTACAGCTCGCATGTGTGTGCGAGCCCGGTGAGTACGTACGAGGCGTACGTGGCTGTGGGTGTGCGGGGGAAAGGCCGATAGTAGCTGCTTTAAATTCAAATGGGCGAAGGCAGCTGCTGAGAGTTCGGCGCGATACGTTGTTGTTGACAGACGCTTTTCGGAAGTCTTTTTCTCCTTCGTGAGCGCACTCGACTACTCGTACTGTTAAGCATTGATAGTCCTTTGCCGTTTGACATTTCATTCCGACGACTCGATTCTGGCCTCGCACATACACATTCGACTGCACGCATACATATACATAGCACACGTACATAGCATACACCTACCGAGGAGAAGAAAAATTTAATTTCACCGAGCGATTCGCTTAGAAAAATGTGTATCCGCATTACGAATGTTCGCGCGCGCGCGATCCCCCCCACCGTTGCTCCTGTTTCTTTAATTACGGCAAATTTATGACTGCGCGCGGGGGAGGCTATATAGTAACGCACATCTACACACACCTAAACTCACACAAACGAATTAAACATTCTCCAACTATTCGAGAGATCCTCTCGCGGCGCGGCGGCTCCTCTCCGGCAAAAAAAAGCTGCAAAAAAAGAAAAGGAGAGGGAGAGCAGCTCAGTTTTTTCATTACTACTATACTGGGCGATGCTACATCGTGTGTGCACGCGAGCGGAAGGACGTCGTCGGGGCGTTTGTGCAGCGGCAACTTTTTCGAATCAGCGATATACCTTTACACTCGCACACACACGTACACACGTACACACACATTCCTTTTTCTCGACATATAGAGTCAAAAAAAAAGTGATAACGCGAGCGCGAGGTAGGGGGCCTGCAGAGAGACAGAAATAGAGCATGTATGTGTGTATGTGCGTGTGTGTGGGTAGGTACGTCTGGCCTCTGCTACTGCTGCTACTGCTGCTGCTGCTGCAGTAGTCTTGGTCGTTTGAGATCGATCCTTCGTCGCGAAAGGAGAAGAAAAAATCGAGAGAATCCTAAAGGAATCTCGACCGTCTTTTGAGGGGTTACAAAAAAAAAGAAGCCTAGCACACGCTACAATAATCTCTTTATATCCGTTGCGCCTGGACCAAAGTAGTATAAAACGATGAATTTCAAAGCCAAACGTACGCGCGCGCGCGTGTGTGTACACTGTAGGACTATTTTTCCCTTTTTTTTTATCAAATATATGTATAGAAAGAGAAGAGAGAGAAAGAGAACAATAGGCAAACTCGGTTGGTTTTATTGGTGTTTGATATGGAAATTGGCGATGATCGTTTATCTTTATTGTCGCGTTGCACGCCCATAGCCTTTCGTTATCAATTTCGTCGCACCGAGAGGTAGAGGGAGAAGGGGACGAGGGTAAAAAGAGGCTTGTTGTACCAGCAGAGGTGGTTTTGTGCATAGAGAGAGAGAGAGGCGCACGTTTAAAAGAGAAAAACATTTTTTCCCTATCCCCCCAAAGCCTTTTCATACTCGTAAACGCGAGAGGCGTTTATTACGTTGTTTGAACGGGTTAATGGTTGAGCACATACAGGAATTTATATACACACGTAGAGCACATTCGAGCTGCAGGACAGTGTGTATTACGGATTATATTGATTTTCGCGGCTATACACAAGTTGATTTTCGTTTTACGCTCGCGCGCGCGCACGTGTGTGTGTGTTTGTGTGTTGGTCTGTGTGGGATGTGTCGATGATGAATGGATATATAATGTACGACTGCACGCGTACTTGTTTCACTGTGTGTGATTTTTTTCTTTTTTTTTCTTCATTCCCAGAAAAAAAACATCGTACTCGTCGTCGACGCCGTACGCTGGAAGTAGTAAAATTTATCGGAATATAATATTTAGCGCAGTGTGCGTGTGCAGATACTCGCAGCTGATGTCCTCGCATAAATCCTCCGACGATTGCGTTATATCGGCGACCTTAACATTTCATAACTTATAGCTCGCAGGATTTTTTTGCTCCTCTATCTCTCTCTGCGCTCTCCAAACGACATCTTGATAAAGATGCTTATTACCGAATGGAGAAGAAAACACGCAAACTTTTGTACTACTTTTTCGTGCGATCAAGGACTCGGGGTACTTGCAAAGAAAGAGAGAAATAGGCAAAAGGAGAAACACATTTCGCCTGGTATATTATCGGCTGCATTTTATCGACTTATTTTGCCTGTAAATGATTATTATTCGCACGAGGTCAAAAGTACGGCGAACTGGCGGCCAGCCGGACACCAATCCGTCGGATCGACGAAAGGCGAGTGGCGCGCTCGCGATCATCGCTGCAGCTCGGAGAATTTCATTCGGACAAACGCGTCGCTGTTTTTTTGTTTTCGTATTAAAGCGCGTCAAAAGACCCTAGAGAAAAATAACTGAAATTATGTCAAAAAATATTTACCAACGATAAATTCCCTTCATATCTCGCAGTTTTCTCGTACAGCTCTGCGAGAAGAAGAAGAAGAAGAAGAAGCGAGAAGCAGGGGGGACGAGCAAAAAGCTCAGCGCGAGCGGAGAGCTTACATTCAATCTCAGGCTGGCGGCGAGGGAAGGAAAAATAAGGTCATGCTCAAAAAACAGTAGAATAATTGCAGCGCAGCTCTCTGGGGCTGATACGTATACGTAGGGATCACTCGTCACTGTCGAATCCCACTCTAGTTTTCTCTCTTTCGTTTCTGCCATGCGAGTAGCGAGTCTGCGGTGTCGGCGGAAGCAGCAGCAGCAGCAGCGGCGCACGTAACAAACACGAGCGCTCGGGGAACTTTTTATTTTTTCCTCAAAAACTTTTCTAATGAAAAAGTCGAATGTCAAGACATCGCGTGATCGAAATAAGCAATTTGCCAATCATAGCCGATCGTAAATACGGCGAGAAAAAGCGCGAGTAGGCAGTATACGAGTCCCTTACTCTCTATAGGTTTGTGCCTCTCTCGGTACGCGGCGACGGCGGCAGCGGCGGCGGCAGGAAGGGTTGCTTATCGACACTGCGGCGCGGCGCGTGCAAACCATGCGCGCACGTGGCCACTGCAGCATCTCGCTCGCTCGTCGTAGTTTCGTCGTAGTTTCGTCGTAGTTTCGTCGCCGTCGCCGCGCGCACACGCGCCTCTGCATGCCGTTGACGCCTATATACTGTAGAGTAGCTCACGCTCACAGACGCATTCGGAGCTGCTGCAGCCACACATGTAGGCGCGGGGGCCGATTCTGCGCTATCGTTCCACCTCCGTCTCTATCTCGCGCGAGACAGCTACGACCGACGAGAGAAAAATCCAAGCTTTATTAGTCAGGAATAAAGTGGCGATTTTCTCCGGGGCCTCCTCCTCTCCCCCCCGTCGAGCTCGGGCTTTTCTCTCGTCGGTCGTTATGCGCCTAGCCTATACGTAGGTAAGTAAATAAGTAAGTAAGAGAATTTCATTAGCCCGAATGGCAAAGTTTTAGAGTCGTTTCTAGCTCTCAGTCGCTCGGTCGCTCAGTCGCTCACGGTCTCATCCTCTCAACACAAAACTTTTGGTCCTCTCTCTAAACTTTAATAATCAAAGTTTCGTACAAATAAAGACTTAGCTCACAGAGAGCTGCTGCTGGCTCTACTCGTGTGAGCGCATATGTGTGAGCTATAGCAGTCCGTCGCTCGTACGCGTGTAAAACAAATGCCTCGATCGCGACAAGTGACTGCGGTATACACGACGTATAAACACGGAGCGCGCGTTAAATCAGGTACGTTGTATTTCAGTCATGCTGCGGAATGTGCCTCTCGTCGCTCGTCCTCAACGAACCCACGTATAAAAATATATATACACGAGTTTAAAGAATCGAACGAGACGAGGCAGAAATCGCGTGCGATCGCCGTGAGGCGTGTGCGAGAAGGAGGAAAAAAGGAGCGAGCGAGAGCCGTGTGCTGTGCACGGCGCGGCGCACTCGCGCAAAACACGTGGCTTCGTCTGCATGTTGTGTTGCACTGCGGCGTACGCGCGCGCTATATAGGCAATAGCGATGCAAAAGCATACGCACTCGCGCACACGGCGCATACAAATTTTTCATCCGCGCGACCGCGACACTTAACGGTTTTCCTCCAGCAAGAGAATGAGAGAGAGAGAGAGAGCCAATGTGGTACATATTTTATTCATGCGAGGAAAAGAATGGCAATGCCAAACGAAAAAAAAAGGACGAGTCGAAAATGGCAATCGCGACAATGGTTGATTAATGAATGACTGACCTGGCCGACCGAGGGTGCCTGGAGGTAAGTCGACACATCCGGTTCCACCATGCAGCTCCTTAACCCGTCCGGGATGAACATGTGTGAGCTCGCTGGATAATCTAACGCTCGGCCAGATCGATCAGCAGCAGCGAAACAGGCGTCAGCTGCGCCTCTACTCCTTGACGTCGCGTGTGCTTGCAGAGAGGCCTCGGGGGAGACTACTTATTTTTTGGCTCGGCTGGTGTAGCGTTAGTAGCAAAATTGAGAATCGCAGTTGGATGCGCTGCTGCATGGGAAGAGTCGGAGGAGAGAAGATAGCAGTCTGCAACGGCACGCGTATTCGCTCTTGGGCATGCTCTTGGGCCAACGTGGCCCACGCGACTACGAACGCAAAGCCTGACTGCGCAAAGTCACGACTCACTGGCGCACGTCAGCGTGCTTCTGATATATCCGCACGTATACAGCAGTAGCGCGAGTCCTCTCGCTGCTGCTGCTGCTTTTTCCCTCCTCTCGAGCTGCTTTCTCTCTCTCTCTCTCTCATGCGCGCTCCACTACTCCTCTACTGCACTGACTCATGCTCGTGTGTGTGTGCATGTGTGTGTAGAAGTAACAGCACGAGTAGAGTCATCCCCCAAAAACGAGTTTTGTTTTTGCGCCCTCTCCACGGACACAGAAACTCGACTGTGGCGCGCGCGCGGCACACACTTTGCCACCTTGAATGTTCAGAGCGCGCATGTCTTCCTCCCCGCTGATACCTTTTTGCAGTCGCGCGCATACACCGAGGGCTTATCTCCTGAGGTTGCAGTGCTGCAGGGCCTCGCGAGCGCGCTATTACTCCTAGATAGGCGCCATCGGCCAACCGACCAAGTAACCCCCGACCGACCAACGACCGACCGAGCCGAGCGCTCGAGCGAGCTTTCGGCTTTTGAGCTTACAGATGTTGCGCGCGCGCGCGCCACAGCAAAGGAGGGGGTTATATTGCTACGAGAGGGGAAGAATGACACCCCCTCCCTCTTATTCGACGACGCCACCAACACCACCACCACTACTAGTAGTAGCTGCGCACGAGACGAGGGAATTTTTAAATTTTCAAACAAAAAAGCAGCCCAACGGAGCTTGCCTGCCGAGCGACAAACGGATTTTTAGCTCTATCGTCGTGCTTGTAAAAAGAAGATATCGTGCGACGCGATAAAAAAAAAGAAAGAACGAAAAAAGAAAGGACCGAGCGGAGAAAACCAGTCGTAAGCTAGGAAATTGTTTAGAAGCCATAAAAGTGTACATGTAAAGTCTGCAAAGCACTCCGCAGCTAGCGTATAAACTTTACAGCCTCGTACCGTACAGGGCTTATCCTTTCTCTCTCGTTTCGCTCTTTTGCTGCGCTACAGAGCTACTCAACTCTCGCTTCTTCCACTTGTTTTCTAGGCTAAACTACCCTCAGAAATCACCCTAGTCTTCTTCTTCTTTTTTTTTTTTTTGTTTGTAAGGCACTACTAGGTTTGTTTTCTCTCGTCCAGCGCGAAAGCGGAAATGAAGGAGAATGAATGGCCATTCGGTCTTTGCGCGGCTTTTTTTTCGCGTATAGCCCGGCTACTCTACTACCCTCTCTCTCGCTGTATGACGACGCTGACTATTTTTCTTTCTTACGCCAGTGAGCAAATTTTAGTTTGCGCGCGCGCGCGGCAATTTTTCGCCAAGCCACATCCTTTTACATACTTTTCTTATATATCTATACGTAAGAAGAGAGCGCGGAGCGAGCGAGAGAGATGGAGTAATTAGTATTTGGGACGAGGGCGTATATTATATGCGAGAGACTTTTTCGAGGGCGGATGGTGTTGTTTTGAGAAGGAGGTTTTAAAAACTTTTCCTCGCGCGCGCGAGATGCTCTTTTCTGACGCTTTTTTTCTCTCTCCCTCTCACCCCTTCTTGCTCTTCTTCTGCTTTATGAACTGTGCGGCTGTTTGTTTCGAGCATGTTACAAGAATGACGCGCTTAAAAGCTTCGCTCGTGAATTATTTTCCGATGTCGACCTAAACGCATTTAAGTATACAATAAAGATTAGAAAAAAGAAAAGCGCAGGAAAAAAAGGGAGGAGAAGTCGTTGCGGGACAATCGCATTATTACAAACGAAACGGCGTGCGAAGGCCCGCAAAAGGAGCTTAAAAAGCGGCGGCGGCGGCACTAACGTCTCGTGTACTACGTAATAACGTTGTAGCCATATAACGTTTGGGAATCGCGACACGGGTTACATGGGCTGCTCTCGCTCGTTTCGAAACTTCCTATGAGCTATATAGAGCAGAGAGACTGCCTCTCTTACTCTTTCTCTCTCTCTCTCGGAGGGCTAAACGGAAAGGATTACGGATGCGGAGGTAAGCGCTCGCGTCTAATCCCCGAGAGCAGTACTGGATGTCGAGCCTACACGCGACTCTATACTACGTACACTGCTATATATGTACGACTGTACTCTCGACTCTTGTGTGTGCATTTACATAGGGACGAGCTCTACTCGGGGCTGCTGCCTCCCTATCTGCTGCTGCTGCTGCTTTGCTGATGCTCGCGAAATGTTGCTGCAAATGCGAGGGATGAGGCCTCGCTTCATCTTGACATCCATACCGTTATACTTTATATACCGTACTGCAGCCTTTTTACAGCTTTAACGGCTTTTTCGCGTTAGACTTGCAAAAACCGACGGATGCCCGACGTAACGCGCAACAACTTTGAGCTAATGTTTTAAAATCGGATCGTCAAGTATATTTTCAAAATCGCATGTACTTATTGCGATCGCAGTAGAGTACGGTACCTACGCGCCGCTACCTACTACTACCTTTACTTGTCCCCACCCCAGCGGCTGAAGCCTCTGACGTAGTTGGCCGCGCGCATGTGACTCAGAGAACCCCAGCTGATATATATTGCTCGCGAACATTCGCTAAATATATATATATGTTTTGCACATCATAGTCGGAGAAAAGAGCGAATTTTTGCCCGCACCGCAGCTCGCACTGGTCTCAGTACTCGCTACGCCAAGAAGCTGCTCGCATACATACGCGCCGCACGGATCTCTCTCGCGCGAACTCTCTCGCTTATTTAACTCAACTGTCGTTCGAGTGCATTTTCGGCTTGCTTCAACTTTGTCAAAGACTACATCGATTGCACACCACCATGAAATTGGCTGTGGCTACTATTCTCGGTGCAGGAGTCATTGTTGCGTAAGTTTGCGAATTGTTGCGTTGCCTTGCGTACGCGCGCGCATAACGCAATTGTGACGTTTTGTCAACGTTTGTTTGTTTTTTCAGTACCCTGCTTAACGGGGCCTCCGGTATTTTGGGCCACGACACGAGTTTCAAAAATTTTATGACCAAAAGCCGAGATCAGACGTCGACAAAACCATCCAACTGAGCTCTGAGCGGACCGCCCCGAAGCGCCCAGAACGTTCCATCGATCAGTGTTCGATTCACTCAGTATTCGCATAATTCATCGTCTCATCGACTCTCGTCTTCGTAGTTTAAGTAGTCAAGTGTTATGTGTAAGCAGTGTCATGAATGTTTAGTTAAATAAATGAATTAATTTTCAACGAATCTCGAGTACGTCTTTCATTTTCGACCCGTTGTACAAAAATAATATGATACACGACGAGATACCGAGCGACTCAGCGATTGTTCAAACAAAAATCTATATATATACAGCACTCCCGTTATAGGCGCACGCGTGGAAATTTTACGTGAAACTTTTGAAAAGTCTTTTCGCGATCGTCGCCGGTGTACACTCGCTAGTCCGATCGCGCTAGAAGCCGCGCACGCAGCCAGTCACGCAGTTAAAAAAAACGTGTTTCGCTAAGACTCGCCAGACCTGAGCTGCATATTTAACATTTTTCCGCGCTGAGAACTGCTCGACGCGTCCTTTTGAATAAACAATAAATGTAACTACCTTTACGTCTTAGAATCAATTGATTTTCTTTTATTATATAAATATAGGGTATAAGATGTCGTTAGACCAATAAACAGAATACAATATGTTAATAATAATAGTGATAAAGTTAAAATAAAAATGCCATCGCCGATTTATACACAATACAAATCGTACTCGCTACAATGTTTCTGTATGAGCATATTCATAAATGCGCGCGCCAATGTAACAGAAAAAAAATCAATCCGTTTACACATCATGAACGGAGAACCGAGAGGAACATTGGATATTCCAATGCGCTAGCGCCACTTTGTTTAAATGTGTTATTTATGGAGAGAGTCTCTCTCTTGCATTGCGTTTCCAATCTATAATTGGCAGTCATTGAATTCGTTTCTCTTTCTTCTTTTTTTTTCTTACATGTATACTATGTACACGAAAAAGTATCGTTTGTTCGTGCAGGCAACTTTACTTTTTTTTCTTTTTTTTATTGTATCTTATACAAAATTGAACTTTTACATTTTCATAATCGACATATTAATATGTACGTTTTTCATAAAAATGTAATACAATCATTCAGTTCACTGATGTTGACTTATGGTATTATAGTTCAACGTGATTGTATATAATGTTTTGTTTATTAATTGATTACATTCTCAGGGAGAATTGGCAGCTTGAGATAAAAATTACCTACGTTCAACTTTTGATCTCGCATAAATGTATAGGCATAAAAACATTAATCCTATACAAATTTCATTATTCAATTTGGTTTGTTAATTGATCAATAGCACAAATCAAGTGCATACTTGTACAATTTTCGAAATTACATTTCTCCAAAAGACAATGCTGCCTATAAATGCAATATCATTGAAAACAATACAGCAATATTACAATAACGTTATAACTGAATACAAAACTTTACATGAAATTACATAAAAATAAATTGTTCAAAATAAAACTATTACCTCCATGAAATTTATAGAAACGAATATATTGTTAATAACTATTTGTCAATCATAATTTACATTCACAAAATTACAACACTCACGCGAATTGAGGCATTCAAACATATGTTAGCAACTTGTGCTTGTATTTCATAAAACAAACTTTTGGAGCACCTACAGTTCATACATTTTGTTACATCACGTTTTGTCTATTCAGATTATGAATTCTAAACAACGTTAACAAAATTCAGTTTGATACCATTTCAGGATGCACTAACAAAAGACAGATAACAAGTTGATGGGTGCTTTCTATTTGAATAACAGAAGACATTCTCCTTGTAACTGCTTTCTTGATTTTTTTTTAGATTATCTATGTGTACGACTAGAACTGTGAAAAAAAAAAGATTTATTAAAATTTTCTACGTACATGCAGTAATTTCATACAAAATTTAATTTACCCTCTTCAAAAATTCTTCAGCACATGTGCGAGCTCTAGCATTCATAGAAAGTTTCATTTCACTTATTTCCCTATCAATTTCTTCCATAAAATGAATAACAAAGTCCACAATTTTGTGTTTATACATTTGTTCTGTATGAATGTTTGTAATGAGAAAACTGATGTCGTAGCCCTGAAAGGAAAGATGAATTACAGTAAAAAAAATGATTCTCCTAATCAATATTTATTTTATGGTGATAAATACCGGTACTGGTTTCCTTCTGAGAATCATGAAATTTTCAGCTCTCATCATCATGAACCTGGTGAATTTGTGACACAAAATCCTTTCAAGATCATCTACTTGTTTTACAGCTATGCTTATTCTCATACTGTTTATGCTGGACTCAATTAAAACTTTTTCGTTGGCATTTCTACTAATGAGGATAGGTGTAAGCAATAACTCTTTGCTGGCTCTAACTTCTACTTCAGGTTTGTTGTGTTTTTCAACAATTTGAGATGAAAAGTTTTCTAAACACATTGCAGCTGTCAGTGTACGCCTCACCGCTGTGAGATAAGGCTTCAGTGAACTTGACTGTAAAAATAAAAAATAGTAAATCCACTGTTTCAATTATCAAAAAAAAAAAAAAATGCTACAATGATGTGAAAAAAACTTAATACTTGATCCATCTCTTCTCTCACACAAACTGACAAACACTAGGAGTAAGGAAATTGTAGTCGTGAATGCATGCAAAAGTTTAGTGTCTGCATTATCAGCAGTAACAGTCATCATTTGATGCATCATCAGGCAACGTAGCAAAATATACTGCTACGCTGATAAAATGCGACATTCCGGTCTAAGCTTTAAAAACTCGCTCGTTCATTCATTCATCATCATCATTGTAGCAAGTGTTTTGACTTTCTGCACGAACAAAAATATTCAAGCATCATAACCTACTCACCATGATTACTATACGTCTTTGAATATAATTGTACAGATCCGAAATATGGGCGGCCGGCGCACTATACAATAAGTACTAAAAATAATTATGATTTTAAGGAGCTAACAACACAGCGATGAATGGTAGATGTTTTATTCACACTGCACCTAAAATCACCACGGGCGAATTTCAGGTATCCGACAAATGACACATCACACACTAACACGATGGAGGTAAGCAGCGTATGTACACAATCTCTGCAAAGCATGAAATTTTGCAGGGGCTGGGCCTTTGCAGTCTGCAGACACACGGCAGCGCCCGTGATATCTAGTTGGATTTGGAGAATCTAGGGTTACTAGATTATACGACTCTACACACTACTATGTCAATTATCAAGTTTCAGAGTCAGACTAGAGTGTTTTAATGGCGCATGCGTTTGAATTTTAGAGAAATCAGAAAAAATGATCGACTTGCGAGTTTTTTTAAAGCAAATTTATTAAACATAATTGAAACTAGCATAATTACGTTTGTATTATACAATACATTAAATGCGATAAATACAATAATAAGTTCAGAGTGTAATAAATTATTTAATACATGTAAATAAGATTAAAAACTAGTCATCACAATAACATATACTTACGACTAAATGATTACATGTTTGATTTTTTTATATCACTAAGTTAATTTAGTAATAAACAATATTTCACATAAATCGCATGGGTGAATAATACAAATCTTGTAACAGATAAAAAATTACTTTTGGAATAAACATAAAAAGTCCAAAGAAATTAGTTAAATGAACAATATTACAGGAAGATTTGAATTCTAGACGTATTAAATATAAATTTTTGAGTTTAAAATATTTGGCACAGTAAAATTTTCTCTTCAATGTATGCCTTGTATGTTACATTGTTGAAAATTTCAGAGACTATCAATTAAAACCTTATAATAATGATTCAAAGTTTTAATAGGCACTTGAGGTCATTACAAATATTTTTGCCTTACTAAAAGCAACGCATCACAACTACATGCATGATTGACATTATTTGATATTTTTTTACTTATATTTAAAATTAATTGACGATATGTATAATAAAAGCTTTTTGTTGCCTTGATGTGTATACTGCTTATGAATAAATTAACTAGATTTTTGTATAAATTTATTTAAATTGAATATTTCATTCTCAAAAAAATGTGATGTTTAATTAAAATGCATGCCTTTGCATAAACTTAAAAATTTGATACAAACATTATCACAATAACTATAGTTATAGAATAATTAATGTCTATTGTAATATCAATATTATCATGGTATAACCCTGAGTTAAAAGTGTATCAAATTACTTGTCCAGTTGATCCAGACTGGCATTTCTTATGATTTACTATTTCAATTTGTCAAATGATACATCAATACAGATGATCACAAATGTCATTAAAAATACAATTGTATTATTCGTTGCTATGATGATTAATTTCTGAATATATTATAAAATATCTTTGTCTTGGAAGCTACTTTGCTAAATCTTGATTATGCCCGTTGTAAAAAATTTGTACCCTTACACTAAATATGCAATTCAGATTTGCATTGGTATTCGACAATTTATGTACATACTAATATACAAAGTATACGCATAGCAAATTTCATTTCAAAATGCATTTCTATGATGAAAAAGTATTAAAAATTGTTCACTCGTTCCTTTCAAGCATTTCTGATTTCCATTTCATTGACAAAGTCATAAATGGGAACTCGAGGTGGTGGTGGTGGTTCACGAGGCAAATATGCCTTAGTCAAAGATACTACCAATAGAGTCATTAGAGAAGCCCCAGCAATGTGCCATGAAAATATCAATGCAACATTTTCTTGTGAAATCATTTCCATTCCATTCATTCGAATCATATGAGCAATCCATGTTCCATGTAGAAGAGTCAAAGATGCTGATAGAAGTTTCATTTCTGGCCAGACCAATTCTAAAGCTACAGATATACAAGATAACCACACAATGAAAGACAAAGTACTAGATGAAGTAGCAAAAGAATTGGTATATTTTTCAGTCCACATAAATAAACCTTCGACAAAAAAGCTTTGAGCTAAAGCTGTTTTGGCTAGACCCTCGCTTACATAGAGAGGGAAATAAAAATGTAAAACGTCTGTCAAACCAGAAGAAGCAAAAAATAGATAAATGGTGGCGTTAATGACATAAGGTGATACCAATTGTGAATCTAGAGCTTTGGTCCGAGTAAAAAGAATTCCAAGCAAGCCACAGGCAGTTGCAACAAGTTTCAACATGCCTTCAATAGGATGTTCATTGAGCATTCTAGAAACTCCATGCTTCATTTGCGATAAAGGCCCACGATGCTCAGGACTATCACGTCGGCCTTGTCGAGATTTTGGTGGCACATAGTAAAGTTTGGCGTAGTCGTAGCACCACTTGAGTCCAAAGCTATAGAAAATAATACCTGTTGCAAGATATGACCAATATCCGTTTTCTTCACTCATTGTTATATCTAAAATTAAAATAATTTTTTAAACAATTTCTTCAAATTATAAATTAGACTAGAGTAAAAACAATTGTCTTTGCAATTTCAGTAAGTGCTCCAGACATTTTAAATGATTTAGATGAATGCTGAATTTTCCCGTTTTTGTATTTTGTATAATTATTATTAAATGAATAGAAAGACTCACCTTATTTAATAGTGCAATCTAGATTATTAGGAGAAAACGACGCGGACACCGCCTTTAGAAAAACTAGCTGGATAGGGAGCTCTTTTATCGTTACATCTCGAAGTAAGTTTAAATCGATCACTCACAATGAAATGCCATTTTAATAAAAAATTGTCAGACCATAAGTGACAGAGAAATGATATTGAATGTATATCAAATTAAACAAGAATTGACACAAAAATAAGAGAAAGCCTTATTTAGACAAGCGCCCGCAAAGTGGTGGAGTGTCGTATAATTATAGCATACAATATATAATACGTCGGTAAGAAAACAGCTGTTTGAAGCTTCAATTTTAAGCAGCATGCGGTAGATGGCATTCTATGGTGTGTTGCTGGGCAAATATTAAAGGGTCGGTATAAGAAATATGTTCATGTCACGTATATCGTGCCTCATTTCATTGACAGTATAACAGAAAATTTTTTTTGCTGAGTATGAGTATAAAAATAATAATTCAAGTGGGAAAAGTTTTATTTTAAAAGATATGATTTGTACTCACGCTTCAAGTATTTTTCAGTATTCTTAGGTACTTTGATCAAATGAGTAATAAATACACATCTGCTACATTCGAAACATTAATGCAATAACAACGAAAAAAATGAAATAATATCCCTAAACTTCCTGACAGATTATGAAAACAAACGACTCGTAATTCAAGTGGCAAAGCTGCCAAAGCTAATAAAAAATCCACAGGCACAATTCGAGAGTCATTTCCCACTGACACGGCACGCGTGTCGTATGAATTGTTTCCTCCCTAGACACACTGGGCACACACACTCACGCAAGACACACAACAGGCCAGCAGCAGCAGCTCGTAAGATAGCGCAATAAAAGAAAAGAATAACGAGCGAGAAAAACAGTTGCAGGCCATTCGACACTCGATGCTTCAAAAATTACCGGCGCATCGTGGATTGGTCGCGCTTCTCCACCTGTTTTACCCCTCCACGCGCGGCAAGTACGCGAGAGTCATTCGAGACTGAAGGGCAGCCGCGTGTTGTGCGGTTTTCTGCTGCCGCTGCTGCTGCTGCAATCGCACACACTAATACACCGCTTGGTCTATAGGTTTATGCTGTAGGCTGGCTGTGCGAGAGATCCCACGTTTCGCTGTTGTTCCTTTCTCCGTCCCCGTCGCCGCATTCAGTCGCTGCGCGCGAGACCAACAGCATCACCGCCTTGTTTACAAGATTTTTGCAGCCTACGATTGTTTCAATCAACATGTGATTTCTTGGTCGAACAGAGTAGTTTTTCCCTTTTCATCTTTATTTTCCAACTTATTAAGCCATCCGCGCAGTTGCTTGCTTTCTTTGCATATTTACTGTGATTTGTGCGAGTGACGTTTGTGTGTTTTTTCTGACTAAAAGTTCTCTGTGTGCTTCGTACGCTTTACAAAAACAAAAGTGTTTTGGATTCGTTGGTGCTTTTTTTTCATCAGGTTAAAAGCAGCAAGTGCTCAATTATACATTGGCGAAGTGAACGTGAATACGCTGATGTAACTTTACATATAATGGTGAGTTTTTAAATTCTAAAGTTTGTCGGGAATAAGCGTCGAAACGTTAGGTAATGTTCGAACCGATTTTTCCAATTGCATAAGTTATCGAGAGGCACGATTTTAGGCCAGATTTCGTACGTGCCGCGAGATGCCAGAGCGTAGTTAACGTGACGCGCGAGGCCGAGCGAAATAGTAGTAAAAACAACAAAAATTTCTTAAGAAATCTTTATGTAGAAGCGTAACGAAATTGATGTACAACATTTAAGGGGCACTGAGCGCATAACGACGCGAGCATGTGTATCGCCATCAAAATCACATTAGCCGCGGAACTGTGTATAAAAACGTACAAAGCTACCCAATTTTCCCTCGCATTAAGTACGTGTGATGCATCGTCGTCGTCGTCGTCGTCGTCGTCTTGGTCGTCGTTTCAGCTCGCAGTCATTGTCGTTACAAGTCACTGTGATTTTCTCTCTCTGTCTTTCTCCATAAGTACGTGTACACTACGTCGAGCGCAAAACGTTTTCTTACACGGCATCGGACATACATATAGAGGCCGCATACATATAGGAAAGAGCAAAAAACGGTAACAGCATAAAGAGATGTTGGTTGCTGCTCTCTGTATATACGGCCTATAAGCTTACGGCTCTCTGGCAGCGAGTTTCATGCGTCGCCGTGCATGTGCTGTCTATGTGCAGTGTGCTGAATGCATGCGTTGATGTCGACGTTGCTATACGCGATGTTTTTTTTCTCGACGCAGGGATAAAAAAAGGCAAACGTTGAGGCGACAAGCAGAGGATATATACAAGCGAGCGTCGAGTAATTGCTATATGTGATTCGTAAGGTTGTTTTGCGTCTTGTACTCGTGATAGTTTAATTCGTGCAAAAAAACTGCGGCCGCGCAGCGTCGACGTGTTTTTTAACGTTCGCGCGCGCCTTATACCTCTACCTCCCTCGAGTTCCGATCTCGAAATACTTATACTCGCTCTCGCTGCTTATAAATGCATATAAATATACGCGTGCCTAGAGAGAGAGATAAACATCTCGCCGATTGGGACTGGAGAACCTTTCTCGTTTGTAATATAGCCGTACTTATCAGTAGTTGCTGTCGCGCGCGCTCACGCATTTTTCCGGCTACTACAAGTTTTGAGTTTTGCGTCGCGCGAGATTTATAACGTATAATATCCTTGAAGCGGGCGCGTAGGAGAGAAGGGGGCCTCTATGGCTAGTCGCGCGCTACCCGCCATCGTTTTACCGAGGATTGCGATTATTGCGAATATCGCGTCGCGGTCTCCTCGGTGTCGGCTGGCTTTTTAGTCGGAAACCGAGGCTTCTCGTATCGGTAATATAATAACTCGACGACTATTCAGAGGCACTCAACAGGCGCTATACAGTCACACACTCGGGCACCACCGACACTGCGGATAGACAAAGTGCAACATTAGCCTATCCACTGTGCGCGCCACATGCATCGGTGAAAGTATTATGTGGTCCGCTGATACGGCTGTAACGTATCTATCGACACGCCGTTTCACCGAGCTCGGAGATATATTACTCCGAGTGACGAAATAGCCAACTTGTTTTTTTATCTCCCATTACACGCGCTGTTATTATTATATGCATACAATGTTGACGGCAAAAACTTCTTAATGCATTTAATCCTAAACTTATACTGCGAATCTTTTTTTTCACCTTTTTGCCACCGTCGAATAATTTAGCTCGCTGCAATGCGTTTTTCATGCGCGATATTTATTCTATGCTCTGCGCCGCCGCTAGTTGCACTCGCAGCGCTGGTCAATTATTAATATGTAAATATGTATTTACCAACTTGACTTATGTCGCAGTAAATAGACTGATACATAATTTTGTGACTTGGAAACGCTGCAGTCGCTATGTTGTTTTCTTATAAAAGGTCGCTTAATGTATGTTCTTTCGAGGGCGCTCGCTTAATGCCAAACTTTCTTAATAGGTCACGGTTGAAAAAACTTCCAGAAATTCAATTTTTTAGAATATAAGAAAATTACTTCGTAGTTAATTGTCATTCATGAATAATTATTACCCATTCACAACTGTTGTGGGACAAATAGCAAACCGATCTCTGTAAAAATCGGTTTTGCACCTTTTCGATACTGCTTATTTGGAATGTCCCAATTTTCGAACGAATTATTCCTTTCCATTTGATTGAATTTATTTCGTCAATATCAGGAGCATCGCTTCACAACTGGACCATTTATCTGCAATTGAAGTTTCTGAATCGCTCGTGGCGTTCTATTGTATCTTTTTCTGCGAATATTATCCGTACGAATTTTTTTTCTCCATCTAATGCCTCTGGGTAATGTTCGCGCACACATACACACGCAATATCGGTCTCGTTCGGCGAAACTGTGAATTGACTCACTTTTTGTTTCCGGGGGTAGCATATTAAAATAACCTTTGCAAGCACACGATGTTAATTCTGTTTACTTTTCGCGTGCTCTTTACAAGCCACCAAAATAAATGGAGAAAAAAATAAAAAGGGAGAAACAGTCAATTTTGCTTTCGTACTTTTCTCGAAAAATTGAGATGATTATTGGTGGGAGCAAAAATGAGATTTAATTAAATTTTTTCTACGCGCGAGTGTAGAGCTAACTTCTTTCTCTTTCGATTGCATTTTGGTGCCTAATTATAATTTTAGTTGCGTCGATGATATCGTCCGAGTTTTAATCTTTTCGCCTTGAGGTCGATTTCACTACCACACAATAGGTATGCAAAGTCCATCATGTTGATATTTTCTTCCAGAAATGAAGCGCCTGTCATCCATCACGGTTAAACAATTGTAGCGTACCCCACTCGTTGTAATTATAAGGACGGAAGAAATTTAATTCGAACAAGTGCAGAAACTAATTATTTCGTTATTTCATTCGTCGGCCTGTCTGCAGAGGTACAATCGAGAAAAAGGCAAAATAATAAAAACGGCGAGGAAAAGGCCGATCGCTTAATCATAAGTTACACATATCGAAGGAGGATGTGGGTTATAAATGTTCTTTTATGCTCTTTTGTATAATATGGAAATGTTGCAGGGAAGCATGTGGGCTCGATAACAATGCATATACATTTCCGCGTATTCGGCATAAAACATTTTTTTTACGCGACGAGCGAGCAAAAAAATATGTCGCTACCGAATTGAATTTTTTTAACCGGGAGAATAGTTTTCCTGACTCTCCGATAAATAGTCGTAAGTACGGCAGCCAAAGCACACCCCGGAGAAAAAGAGCCTGCGTACGTGCATGTGCCTACTGTAGCTGCTCTCCGGTACATGTATAATAACTGTAATAAACGAGACTGTCTTGACTGATGCATGCAGTGGGCTGCTTCTTCCTTTACTCCTGAGCTGCTTGCATGATTACATGGTTTTGCCCGAGAAAGTCTACCTCGTGTATAACGTCATCTCTCTTTTCTTTCTCTCTTTTGTTTGTTTGCTGATGAAAAAGAGCGTGTTTCTTCCTCCTTTTTTTCCATCCGATTTCATGCAAACGAAAAAAAAAAAAAGTAAGAATCGATCACGCGACCGAGATGATTAGGAGCGATAAGAGCTTGAAACAATGAAGCCGCGCGCGCGCGCGCCTGGACGCTATTCATTAGTGGCCGATTTTCGCGTGAAAAATGACGTCGAAATAACGGTCCGCGCGAATAATATATAGCTATTTTGAGCGAAAACCGATGTTGCTGCTCTTGCTTTCGCTCCCGAGGGTTTCTTCTGTGTATATGCATCTGATATATGAATATCAGGTTAAACGGCAGCGCACGACACCCCACTAAGTCGATCGTCCGTTTCGTGGAGGCCGATACCGCGAGCTGAAACTTTTCCTATCCGCAGCCGAGTCGTGAGGATATTATATTTTGCGCGCCCGCGTACGTATAAATATTTTATTATTGATTGCACCAGCCGCGCTATGTAAGAATTTATGGTCGCACGAGTCTCCGGTGGGAAGTTGTATAATTAATTTTGCGTAAATAGTGCACGTCAAATTTCCTCTTGTCTTGGCACACGCAGCTTTGGCCGCTTAAAATCTCCGGAATCTCTTCTATATTCTCTCGCGAATCTCACCTCATTAACATCAGCTCCTTCGATCTTTCATTCTTCCCCTTCTCCCTTTTCTTTCTCCATTGTATATATGGGACATCGTTATCGCGTATACTCGTATGTGCAAAAGTAGCCTCTCAACTGTTTTCTGATACTTATCTTATGAGAGTCCGTGTGAAAAGACAGACACACACACACATGCACACATTTAAAAAGAGCTAGAGGGACGATTGGATCGCGCAGCACGAAATACGTGCTACAAATGGGCCTAGGCCACTATTATAGAGGGAAAAATCGCCAAAGTGGAATACTAACTGATAAAATGAGAGAGAGAGAGAGAGCCAGAAATGTCGGGGCAGCTACTGAGGTGTGAGAGTGTATGTACGCGCGCTTACTTTTACAGATTTGAAGCAAGATCGGTAGGAAAACTACTTGCGCATACATACACGCATTACTTTATTAAGATGTCCAAAAGATTCCAACTTTAGATAAGAAAGAAAATTTTTTCCCTATAAATATATCTTACACCTCATCTTGTGCGCTACCAGAGCTTGCTGAATTTTGTGCATGAAATTCCATCAGACAAATTTTTTGCATCTGACAATGTGCGATTTTGTTTTATTCTAATTATATAAAAAGATTTCAATTCAAGTATACCAAGTGTACTAAAGTACAAAATAGTATTACGGTGTAATTAATTAATGATTCATTTAACAATGAAGTTTAAGCTCTCATATTTGTTTGCAAATACCCACCCATGTTTTCGTGAACGTTATCAATTTAACCCAGCGGGCGTCAAAAAAGTTTCAGTAATCGCAACGAATTGCATCTAAAAGTTACTCTGTCAACGAGTATACAGTGTACGTGTGCGAAGAAAGATAGATTTACGGCCTGCTTGACTGCAATTAATTCCGAGGCTCGATTTTTTCCCCTAATGCTGCAACTTTAATTATATTTT